GTTTTCCGTTAATATCTCCTCAACGAAACCTCGGACAACATTTTCGCCAAGGAAAAAGTTGTTCCAAATCACATCCCAAACCCGCCCTTTCAAGATGTTACAACATTATTAGGACACCCTGTATATCTCGAGATCGGGACACGCTACAGGGTTGATGTTTTGCATACGGAAATAGTATTTAAAAAGAGTGTTTCATACTTGGAAAGCTCGGACTGATATGCAGCTCTTGCAGTACGCGGCGACGATATTTACGCAGAAAAAGGGTACCCAACATATTAAGAAAACTCCCATAATTACGCCTACGGTGATGGCGGCCTTATGATCGGACACGTGGTAAGGGCTTGTCGGCTTCGTTTTTGTTTGCGGTTTTGGTGGCTTGTTGCGAGTGCTCTTCGCGCGAAAGCTCTTGGCCATTGAGGTGTCGGGTAGTTTTGTCACCGCCCGGATGCTTTTCACGTGCTTCTGAGCGTAGCAATAGAGCCTGAAAGTAACAACCACGTTCATATACATATACATATACATATACATATTTATATATATATTTAGATATACATATATATATATATATATATACATATGGTATATACATATTTTTTTTTTAAAAACATAACCAATTATTCGATGGTTTCTTATTAAAATTTACCTGCAATAAATTCCCAGCATCACGATGCAGGGTACGTAAAAAGATATGGAAGAGGAGACCACCGCGTAAGTGGGCGTAAGTTCTAAGGTGCACGTAGGGTGTTCCTGAAAAACATGACGATCGAGAAGTAGATAAAGTTATTTCAAATACGTTGCAACGTTTATTTCAAAAAGTATTTCTGTAGTCTTTATAGGGACCTCGATGTATAGGGCGTGTAAAAATTATGTTAACGCTCGTATGGAATTTGTCTCTATACCGAATAGTCTGTATAGTCGTACCTCTATAGTTGTGCCGTTATCTATGGGTTCGTTTGCCCGGTGAAGGCCTAGGCTGATCGGTACGAAAGATATGAGTCCCGCGAGCAGCCACACGATAGCGATTCCAGCGAACGCGACTCTTCTCGTCACCCAACGTCCGTATCTGTTTGCAACACGATAGATGAGCATTTTGTTTTCGATACGAAGTCACGATTTGTCCAGTTTTTAATAATAGAATAAACGAAGAAAAGGAATTGCCTGAGAGGATCCTTGATGTGTATGTAACGATCGAGGGAAATCGCGCAGAGATTCAAAATGGAGGCAGTGCTGCACATAACGTCAAAGGCGATCCAGGTGTCGCAGAACGCCGGACCGAAGACCCAATAGCCGAGGAGATCGTTCACTCCGGCAATAGTCATCACCAGGCAACCGACGGTGAGGTCGGCGATCGCGAGGGAGGCCAGGAACAGATTTCCTATCCTCCGTAACCCGCGGTCCGTGTAAATTGCCACGCAGACGAGTATGTTGCCCGCGACGGATAAAAATATCAAGATCAGGAAGAGGAATCCTGGAAGAATCGAACGAACAAACTGCTGGAATAGAATCGATGGAGCTTACACAACTATCGTTCACCCCTCGAAAAGTCTCCGTGTTAGAGTCAAAGGTTCGAATATCGCGAATTTAACCTTGTCCAGTCGAACGATATCGTCCTAACTGGATCGTGTTGTTTCGGTATAATATTATGTTATTCTTCCTACAAGTTTGCTTTTGGAATTTTACGATCGGGGGATAACGGTAATCAATTTTCATGCTCGCGTGTCGTTCAGGAAACAGAGTGTCGAGTAGATAAAAATCAATATCAATTTTCTAGACTTTTTCCATCGCACAGAGGTGCTCGACGATTGTTTTCCGATTCAAGTCCGTGTCCTCTGCCAATTCCCGAGTCGTTCGACATTGGTCGAGGTAAAGAAGAGCTTGGAGAACGTCCTCGTTGAACTCGATTGGTCGTCCGGAGTATGTCCGGGGTTATTCTACAAATTGCCGTTATCGAATCGTAAACGTTGCGAATAGATTCTTTGCAAGCCGTCGGGATTATTGATTTTTATCTACTCGAGATTTTGAAAACATTGACCGCTATTAGATTTAATCGGAAAACGTTAAAAGCAAAGTTACCAACGAAGAATAGGCCCTTGTAACGTTATATCGGAACAAACAATACAGTTGGGACGATATCGAGTCGAACTAGAATGCTGCGGGCATATTTCTCGACCTAATAGGCGTGTCACCAAAATTAGTAGCGAACCTTCCAGACGCTAGTTATTGGATCCAGGAAGACGAGAAGCGTATACGTAAAAGTGTATGGAATGGAAGAATGAGTCAAAATTAGGGAAATCGAAATACCCGGCACTAAGCAAAGCGAACAAATAAATCAGCGTTTGTTGGAAACGGGGAAGGTGAAAAGTTTATAAAAGTAACGTAAAAAGCAAGACACGACGAGCAACGGAGTAGACGACGAAACAGAGAGGGTATTGGGGGATTGGACGAGCTTAGATCAAAGTTTTCGAGCGTAGAGCCTCTCAGAGGGTTGTCTTCGAGGGGCGAGTCGCGATCGATCAAATGGGAAGTTTAGCGAACCAACTAGAAGCACCGACAACAGCGAGGAAGCGTCTTCAGGCAGATCTTCTTCCCCGTCTGTCAGGTTATTCTGCAAACAGACAAAAGGATTTCATGAATACACCAAGACCTCTGACAGATTACAATTTCTGGCTGAAACGGTTACTTTCCTTTCAAGCGAGTACTCGGAACAAAGTACTCGCACAGTATACAAAGAAGCGGATATAATATTTAGGGAAAATACTTTACGATTCGTACGATACGTTAATTGATACACGTAGAAGCAGGATTTTACCTTTTCGTTATATACGCTACAGAAAGTATTAGGTTGTACCAAAAGTTTCTTTCGTTTTATTAATAAGTAATACATATACAATATTTTATGTCTAATGTTACATTATTGAATCATGTACGATTCATTTTGCTTCATTACTGTTACAACATCAACATGTAAGAAATTAGAAATTGCAAATTACGAAAGACGCTTTTGGGACAACCTAATATTTACTACATCGCTCGAGTATTTAACGCGTCGTCACCGATACCTTAGATAATATTAGCACATACAGGGTAAATATTATAGCGCGATTGTTCGCTAGATATTCAATGTCTATTGAACGACACAACAAAGCTATGCTATTGTATCGACATGGCCAAATTTATGTTTGAACGTATTGTAATATCGCGGAACTCGGTAGTTAAACACCGGAGAGTCGAGTAGCGCAAAACGTGCGACGGATTTGAATCGACGCCTTGTGAATTAAGCATAATCGTTGCGTTGTCTGCGAAAGGCCTCTCTGCTAGGACAGCTACATAGTACAGTATATAATGTATTAGGAGGGCCGAAAAGTAATGTCATTTCTTTTAAATTAAATTCAAACAAATATTCTTAACAATTTTCTATTTTTAAGCAATTATGTAATCACCCTCGTTATCAATGGCCCTTTGCCATCTAGTGTGCAAAATTTCTAATGCGAGATCGATAAGAATCAATGATCCGATGAACGATAAATAAGTATTGATATTCGCAGAAACGACATTAATTTCCAGTCCACCTAATAATATAATGCCGTTTCCCTCGTACGAGATATTTCTTTTACCGCTAAATTTGCAAAAAAATTGATTCATCGTCGCTCGTCATTCCTTAACGGTGTCTTAGCGCGAAAGGGGAGAGTGGTTCGTAAACGATATCCAATTTCACTCGTGTCTATTTCCTTTTCCTTTCTCATTTTTACGCTTCGATTTTTAAACACTGGCTGACACTTATTTCTCCCATTTCCGCGGGATTTTCATTCTGTTATTGGAATTTGATCGAACACGCGCAAGTATTTTTCTATCTGGACGGCTCTTTCCTTCTCGCGCCTCCTTTTCCTCGGGGTATCCGAAGTCTCTCGACCATCTAAAAACGTGCCAGGAGTTTCTGACTGAGAATGGCATACTGAAACGCGCGCGTTGTACGCTGATACTTCTATTTTCCCCTTTTATTTTCCCGATATTTCACACCAAAGCTGTATATACACTCAGGAATACTCCCGAGATTCGTATTCACGGAAAATCGATACTACAGACGGACCAAGATGACGTTGGGTTTACAGGCTCTTTATTTCCGCCCGAACGCGTTGTCTATCAAGCCGTTCTGTCCCATCTCGAAGACACGTAAGAATATCGGGACGAAGGGTGCCAGGGTAACGCCTACGTTACGCGCGTTCCTATGAATAATCTGACAGCCAGCGTTTCTAGAACTGCGCTTTCTTCTCATTAACATACGTTCCCGTCGCGCGAACATATCCGAGTTTCGCACCTAGCATCGATCGTTCTTTTTTCTGTTACTTACCATTTGCCTTTTTCTTCTTCTTCAAATTCTCTGTACCCATAGAGACATTTGTCTATAGTTTAGATCTACGCGCTAATTGCTAGCAATTAATGATCTCCGTTTACCGTTTGATCATCGAATCGCCAAAGTTGACGACTAGTTTCGATATTTTGGTATCGAATTTAACGAGGTCTCCGATCAGTTTCCAATTTTCTCCGGCTCGCTTTCATCTCATTACCAAAGCCTACTTCCGTGATGTTCTCGCGCGGATTCGACCCGTTGCCGTACACAGATTTACGACCGTGTTTCACGAACGTTTGAATAATCGCCACGCCGAAGCATCCGTAGAATTGAACTCGTCTCTGTGATACACACGGCCAGCTATCCCATTGATTCTTCAAGGGAAAGTGAAATTGTCTATTTTGGAACGTTTGGTCGCGGGAAATGCGTCGATACAAACAGGAGGTTGCATCGTTTAATGATACAGCGTCACCCTGCGTTTGTTATTCGAGATTCTTGATTGGACAAGAACTTTTCTCGTCTATTGCGTAGAACAAGTAGACTCCAGTTGAGAAGAGCGAAAGGCAAATTAATACATCACGGAAATTTACATTTAAAAGAGTACACTTTATGTAAAAAGTTTCGCATCGAGGAGAAAGATTGTCTTAAAATGATTAACGTTACTTTCCATCGTTTTCTCATATTTTCAAGCGTTTCCGTGGCGGGGGGGGGGGGGAGGGCGAAAGATTTAATAACATAATAATATTGAAATCCCCGCGGTCCATCCTCGCTTTTAAGGCGATCGTATTTTTTCTCGGGCGGCTCGTCGGAAAAATTCCACCTCGGAGCACTGCTTGTGCCGGTGCATTGATTTTCTGGACGTAGTGCAACGCATGCATATGCAGAGAAAGAAAGAGAAACATTTTATTGTGGCCAGCGAACTGTACTCGCCTCCTTGGTAAATTATTGCTCGATTAAAAAATTACGATTAACGAAGCAGCCGGCATTGTTCCACCCGCTTCCGGTGAAATTGAATTTCATTCGCAGTACCTTCGAGAACAGATTCAGACAAATTCTTTTCTTTTCTTTTAGCTGTGTTTAATAATGTCGCGAGCTTTCGCACCAAGACTCTCGCGTATTCATGATTTTTATTGGATCGCGGTGCAAACAATAACGACAGTTTATCGGATAACAATCTGTAATTGGAGATAATGTTTGCGCGGTTGGTAAATTGGCTCGAACGATCTGGCAAAATGAAAATCTTCTTCGGTTAAAATCTGCGTAATTAGCCACCGTTCGGGGAATCGGAAACGTTTCATCGTTAGAGCTGACGATTATGGCGAATATACGGTTCTATAACCCGTAACGACCGCGTACTTAATCGAGCTATTTAATTAGTTCGCGTTAATTAAATTGTAACGTTGTTACGTTGTAACGTGTTAAAACGGCAATTGTTGTAGACTTTTCCATATGTAATATCTTCGATCAATTCGCGATCGCTTATCCTTCAAACACATTAAGTATTTCGAGCTGCGTTTACGCCAGTTTGTACCGGAATAAATGTAATCTCCATCGAAAATGATCTCTAAACGCGAGCTTGGGATCGCGAATGACCACGTCGTCTAATCCGACGCAATCGTACGAGTTCGGTGTTCGAGTATATTAAAAATTGTATCTCCGGCCATCGAGAATCGAAATTCCGCCGTCGTGAAAATCTCCGTTTGGGAACGGAAGAGAGATTTCGGTGCGGGGCTGGAAGAAGAAAAAGGTTGTCCCATTAGTACCAATTTTTTATCGCCTTCGGTTTTATTTCTTTCTCGATAAGGTGTAGGAATCCTCCTCAATTTCTTTCGCTCTCTCCGATGTCCCGTCCATTTTCTTCGAGGACGAACGAACGTCTTCTCGTACCAATTCGAAATACGAGATCGACTCGAGACGTAGACGCGTAAACGTTTATGTATCACCTTGGAGAGGCATGCGACATTTTATCCTGGCAAAGGAACGAGTAGACACGAGGCGAAAAGGATAAATTACCCGCGCATTGTCTGAGCTATCGCGCGAATGTAACACGAGCGGAACCTCGAAAAGCCTGTGTCGTACTTTAAACGAAGCTGTGGTTTTCGAGGCGAAATCATGCACGCTCGAAAGATCGTCCTCGGATCTTGGCAAAATATCGCGCACGATGGCGAAAACTTTTCACGGAGGAGGCCGTTGGGGGAAGGAAAAGTCTGAAATTTAACTGGAAGAAATATTCAAGGGAAGGGAGAATTGAGAGCATTTGAGATTTACGATTTATCCCCCTTCGTCTCTTGGGACTAATTGGTCTTCCGGGTGAATTTGCAAGATGTGGCGCAGCCTTGGGTTGTCGCAGAGGCCGTTCCCTTTGAGCAAATAATCTCAAAGGACATCTCAACGGTTGGAGCACCCGTGCTCGTTCTTTCGAATTTCATTGGATCGTTAATCGTTGCCTCGAGAATTTGGAGATCGAGAAATACGCGGTAACTAGTATATACAGTATTGTCTCGAAATAAGCAACTCGGTATCCACAGCTTCTTATTTGAAGTCGGCCGGCGTGTGAGAGATCCGAAAAGAAGTGAGAGATACGTGAAAGCGAGAAGTCAAACAGATTAGTGGAAAGAGCACAGAACATGTGTAATGTTTTCTCTTTCTCTGTCGCGCGTATTCTATGAAACAATACTGTTAGTTGTATGTAGTGTTACCTCTACACCGAACCCTCTGTTTTTTCCACGGGTTCCCCCTCGTCTCACTCGAGACTCAAAGTCAAGCCGAATAGCAATACCTCCCACGAAATAAGCAATTCGGTCGGTTCCGACCGAATTGCTTATTTCGAGACAATACTGTACTATGAAATTCTATCAAAGAATGAGCGTAAAACGTGGGATTGGAGAGCCAACGGTCCGTTTAATAATTCACCCTGCATTGAAATCGAAAAGCTGTGCAATTATTCGAACAATCGAAACGGAATATTCAATTCGTCACTTGTTTCTATCTCTTGCACAGTTTGTCTTCTTCTGTCTCTTATCTTCGCCGATACCGAGATGCAAGATTCCAAAGTTGTTCCAAGTACGGCAGAGAACTCGAGTTTTCTCGACGGCGACCATTAACGACCCATGTATTCAATGCTCGATGGTGTAGCCGGTGCACCTTCCGTTCGAGCTACTCGCTAGAAGTTCGCCGCGTTTAACGCTTTTATTTTATTTAACGACCGTCTTATCACGACTCACTACCGTTTCCGAGCACTGGAAGATAAAAGTCGC